AAAACCAAATGGAAAGTTTGGGCAGGGTAAACATAGTTATATTCCTCAACAACTCGTGGTTCCTATTACTATTGACACATGGCATGGCAGAGCTATTGTGGATACGGGTTCCAGTTACACCCTAATCAATTAAGTTGTATGGAAGGGAATGAACAGACACAAAGAAGACTTAAAGCCTTGGGGGAACGGTCCTTTATATCTTGCAAATGGAGAGACTGAGCAGACCCAGTGAAGGTTGAGGCTATTAAAGCTTACCCCGAGCCCAAGAACATCAAGGAAGTTCAACGGTTCATGGGTTTAGCTGGGTGGTATCACCGTTTCGTTCCTGGTTTCTCTCAAGTGGCAGAGCCCATCCATGACTTGAAGAGAAAAGGACGAGTTTTCAAGTGGAGTGACGAATGTCAGAAGGCTTTTGATACTCTCAAACACCATCTTACTTCGCCTCCCATCCTAGGACATCCAGACATGAACTTCCCTTTCATTGTGTATACGGACGCCAGTGACGTGGGTCTAGGGGCCATATTGGCTCAAAAGAAGGGGATGGCTCATGAGGAAGTAATCGCTTATGCTAGTCGCTCCTTGAACCAGGCAGAGCGAAATTACACCACAACAGAAAGAGAATGCCTGGCAGTCATCTGGGCACTAGAGAGGTGGCAACATTATTTGGAGCCTAAGTTGTTCACTGTGGTGACTGATTATGCCTCCCTACAGTGGGTTATGAACACTACCAAAACTACCAGTCGTCTTATTAGGTGGGCCCTCAGACTCCAAAAATTTGAATTTGTTATTGAGTACAGGAAAGGAAAGCTTAATGTGGCACCTGATGCACTTTCACGAAGCCCAGTTGGACTCTCCTGTATGGTCACAGCAAAACAGAAGGAATCGGAACATTTTCCGGTCTCAACTTCCACAATCTGGGAAGAACAACAAAAAGATTCAGAAATACAGAATGTCATTAAAACCTTAGCTGAAGGTTGCAAAATCTCAGGATCGAAGTACGCCATTTTGGAGGACTTGGTGTACCAAAAGACTTGCCTTTCTGAAAACATGTTTCACTATCGGCTTTTTGTTCTCATTCCTTCAATCCTGCAGGCGTATCATGAGTCTCCCTTGTGTGGCCATCAAGGCATATTCAAAACTTATAAACGTCTCCATGATGTGTGTTTTTGGTCAAAGATGTGGAACGATGTGAAGGACTTCATTAAAAAGTGTGTGAAGTGTCAGATGTACAAAGGAGAAAATAAAAAACCATGTGGCAAACTACAGCAAACTGACGTGCAACAACCAAATGAAATGGTTGGAGTAGACCTCATGGGTCCTTTTCTCCATAGCCCAGACAGGAATGAGTACCTGCTTGTTTTTGTCGATTATTATACTCGCTGGGTAGAACAGTTCCCGATCCGCTCATCCACAACACAGATGATTGCCTGCATCTTCCGCAAGGAAATTCTCACTCGTTGGGGGGTACCAGATTTCATTCTGTCAGACAGAGGCTCTCAATTTGTCTCTTCTTTATTCAGAGAACTCTGTGAAAGTTGGTCCGTAACCCCTAAGCTTACTACAGCTTATCACCCCCAAACCAACATGATTGAGAGGGTGAACCGAAATCTCAAATGCATGATCTCTTCATATGTGGAGAGCAATCATTGCAAATGGTATCATTACCTCAGAGTTTCGTTTTGCACTGAACTCATCTGTCCATGAGACCACAGGCTTATCCCCTGCCGAGTTACAGCTTGGAAGGAAACTGAGAAGTCCTATGGACAAACTTCTGTGCGGAAGGGATCTCTCTCCAGACTCCCCTTACTATGATGTAGTGCAACGGCTGAAGGATCTGCAAAGCAAGGCACAGGAAAGTAGTAAGAGAGCCAAGCTGAGACAACTGCGAAATTACAATGCCAACAAAAGAGATGTGACTTGCCAACCAAAAGATCGAGTGTGGGTTCGGAGTCATCCTCAGTCAAAAGCTGCACGGCACTTCACTGCTAAACTGGCCCCAAGATGGAAGGGACCCTATCGTGTCTTAAGACAGTTAGGTCCGGTAAATTTCCAAGACGTAAGAGAAGACACAGGCGAGGATTTGTGCACAATTCATGTTAATAACCTCAAACGCTGTTTTCCCACTGCGGCAGAAGTTGATGCTCGGGAGAAACAGTCTGTGATGGATATTCTCCTTGAGGAATCTGACGATGAGGATTTCCATGGTTTTCCTAGTTAATTTTTCCTTTTGGTTACAACCAAGGGTTGTTTTCTTCATGGGGGGGAGAGTGTAGCAGGTTGCTACTAAGACTTTAAAATTATTGTTTGAATGTGGTTGGTTGTTTTTCATGCATTTATGTTTTGATCATTGGGTAATGATTTAGTGTATGTTGTATGGTGTGGAAACGTCCTATTCCGGTAATCCGCCTGAAAAGGGTGACGCCTGGTTAAGGGTGGGGTTTTTTTTGGTTGATGAGGCAGGAAACTTAGAGCGAGTAGTGTTACTGGAGGGGATGGGCGTGCGGCGCAAAGTTTTGGAAAACTGTCTGCAGGATTTTTTTTGAGTGGGGATAACGGCAGTGGTTTCGCGTTTTCTCCGGGTAGATCGGCTTGTGTTTCTACCCCTGGGAGGAAATCGGCGAAACGATCCGACAAGGTGTCCAAGGCTGCTGAGGTGGTTTCGCCCTGACGGGTTTCCACGACTGAACCGAGCAACAGGGTCTGACGGGTGATACAGAACAATGTTCTTTTCTAAATCATTGTAGGCTGGATTGTCTGCTCATGCTGGCTAAACGGGATTCCTTTCTTCCCTGCTTAGCAATTAGTTCCACCTCGTTTAGGTTTACGTTCGGACAAACTGTTATCGGTTGCCGACAAACACCGGAGTCTGTGGAGACCCGTGTTTGTTGGTTGTTTGTTTATTTTTCCCGAACTACTAACTACTGTTTATGTTCATTTACCCTGTGAGTGTTTGAGCGCTTTGTGTTTCGGTCACATGGTTTGTTTTTGTTTGTTTACCTTTTGTACATTTAAGTGACGGTCAATACAATACGACCTAGAAGTTGTTGTCCGGATCTTTATATTTTTCGAATTTAAATGTGCTGTAGGGGGAGGTAAAACTCAATTTGGCAGATAATTTCTGCCTGGCGCCTGAACTTTAGGAGAACCCTTTATAAACCCTGGCTGCCTACGCTACGCTACACTACACAAGCCTTAACTGTGAGGCATGCAATGAAAGAACATAATGAAGTCCCCTGCCTCTTGCTGCAAAAGGGCTGTAACTTTATATAACTAACGAATCTTCGATTTGAACAGTTGTCTTTTTTTCTGCGATCACCCCAATGAACTGGGCACAGGCAGCATCGTTGCTGTATGTCGGATTTACATTTAACCCGTTCCTTTTCTTAAGGATGATCTGGGACTTAAATTTAGTATATGGTAGCTCTTCTTTGGCTATGTTATACGCAGTGTTAAATCTTATCATTTCTGACTCCTCACTGCTTCGGTTTGCCACTGCCTGTCACTGAAACGCTGTGGGGAGGGGGGCTACTCTATTGGCCACGCACCTGTCATGGCACAGGACGTGTTTGTTGGGGACATTGTGCTTTTTTAATGCTTCAATTCGGAATGTCAATGCTCCAATAGCAGAAGCACCCAGCCATACTTTAGCCGCACTCTTTGCAATAAATGCAATGCATAATATTGACTGTTTTATCATACCTGAGCCACAGAAATTGGACAAGTCATTCTTTGCGAAAGGCATATATTTTGGCCTTTTTGTAGGCTCTGGCTCTGGCTCTGGCTCTGAGTCAGATGAGGCCATCTTAGCTGAAGATGTTGGGTCAGAATTCGGCATTTTACCGGGGACAGGGGAGACAGGTGGTGGAGCGGTTACCTCCGCCGATGATGTCGGGTCTGGGGTGGGCCTTTCAAGGCTGGGGACAGCTGTAGCTTTTCTTGACGAAAAAACAATCGTTCGTCATTTTGAGATGAATGTTTTAAGGTTTTGATGTCGCTTGAGGAGGAGTACAGAGCGCAGTTTCACACATGGCTTATTTTTTTCCCCATCAGGGTCAGAGCCAATCAGAGGCAGGGTAGGGGCCAATCAGAGGCAGAGTAGGGGCACGTCTTCACAGAATGCGAAGGAAAGAAAAAGGAAGGAAAAAAAAAACGCTCCACACAGACAGACCTGCTAAATGTGAGGCACACCGGTGCGACCAATGAAAATGTTTAGTCACACTTGACAGTCGCGTGTGCACTGGAACAAATCTTACACAGTTTAAAAAGAGGTACAAAAAACTAAGGTACAGAAAAGAGGAAACGGTAACGCTCACTAATGTGTAGTGGTTTTCCTTTTGTATTTTAGTATTTTTTTCTAATCCTTTTTGATTGAGTAGTGTTTATTATGTGTCTGAGCATGTGTATGATGGACACTGGGGCTGAGAGCTGGACTATGTGACTTTTAGTTGATTAGTATAGAATTTGGGTAGGAGTAGATAAGGATGTTGCCAGTGTTGCCAACTCTTCCAATGAAAGTAGCTAGCACTAGCTCCAAAAGTCGTGATCATTGTGCATTCATTTGCATAAAGCTTAGTGGTGCAGCGGCCGGCCCTCCAGCCCCGCCCCCACCCCTACTGACTGCCTGCACAGTGCTGGTGCGCAAGAGGAGAGAGGAGGAGAGAGTGACTCAGTGCTGTTGGCCGATGAGCCGTGGACTGCATGCATGCATTTGAATATCTCGCTTTTTCCCTAATGGTCTGAATAAGTCACTTAATTTGTCGCTAGTCGCTTTTTATAAATAAAGTCGCTAAGAGGGTCTGAAAGGTCGCCAAGTTGGCAACACTGCATGTTGCTTCTTCCTACGCCATTTCGGACATTATAAAAAAGTTTCTTTGAGAGTCTGATGTATATATTATTGGATTTTTTGTTATTTCTTACTTTTATATTTTATATTTTTTTATATGTTCGAAATAAAGATTATTCTATCAAGTGTTTGTTGGGAGAGAACTGAGTAGAGCAGGTGGTCCCAGTGGGAATTGAACCCCTAACCCCGGCAATGTTACTACCATGCTCTACCAGTTGAGCTAGTCACGACCAGGCTACTTCCAGATGCACAGCCCTACTACCGTATTTTCCGCACTATAAGGCACACTTAAAAGCCTTTAATTTTCTCAAAAAACGACAGTGCGCCTTATAATCCGGAGCGCATTTATATATGGATTCATTCTGGTTGTTATGGCTACCGTAGTCAGGAGCGTCGTGGAGTAATACACGTGCTTCACCATAATATTACAGTGTGTGTAATGTATAAAGACCCCAAAATGGCACCTGTCAAGAGACACGCTTATGACGCAGACTTCAAACTGAATACGCTAACGTTTGATTTAGCGATATCAGACTGTGTTTTTTTTACGTGTTACAACTGAACAAGGTTGGGAGTTATTGTGAATACGCTAACGTTTGATTTAGCGATATCAGACTGTTTTTTTACGTGTTACAACTGAACAAGGTTGGGAGTTATTGTGAATACGCTCAACATTTGAACAATGTTGAGAGTTATTGTGAACGTGTTTAATAAAGTTTGACTGACTGACTTATCTGACTGTTTTGTTTCGCTTAATGCGCCTTATAGTCCGGTGCGCTTTATATATGAAAAAAGTTTGAAAATAGACCATTCATTGACAGTGCGCCTTATAATCCAGTGTGCCCTATTTTGCAGAAAATACGGTAGTCAAGCAGGTGAAGATAATTCCATATCTTTTGGGAATGCTTCTTCCTCTTTTGACATTCATGGGACCAAAGTAGTCTACCCCCACATTGGTGAAGGGTGCCTTGTCAGGTAAGACTCTCTCCTTGGGCAAGTTTGCCATATTTTGCCCAGCACTCTTTCCCCTGGTACTTCAGCATGTGACACATTCTGATATGACTTTCCTTGCAGCAGAGTTGGAATTTCCTAGCTGCTGATGGATGTGGTGCAGAATAAGTCTGGAAACATGAAGATCCTTTGACAGGATAACCGGGTGTTAAGTTTCCTCCGGCATTGCTGCCTTACTCAATCCGCCGCTCATTGGGGGTTTGAAGAGAAACTAGGCAAGGCAGCTTTATTTATATTGCGCATTTCATACACAATGGCAACTCAATGCGCTTTACATAAAACAATAGGAATTTAAATTAAAAAAACTATGGTCTGTTAATCTCCCTTGCTTGTCAGAAAGTCCTCCACTACCATTGCTCTTGATGCCTCATCATCTGGGTTCTTAGGGTATTGTGATCTGTTTCAGTGGTGTTACTGACTTTTCCGAAGAGTAATGAAACATGCAGCCTATTGTCACAGTTTTCCATCCTCAGAAAGGACACCATACCATAGCCCTCTTGACTGGCATCAGAATAGTGGTGCAACTGAGCTTTCCAAAATCTTTTGGCTTGAAGCAACAATCTTAAGAGCTACCTTCTTAAGATCCTGTAGCCATCCAGACCACTGTTGAGAGATGGGCCATGGAATACCTCATTCTGCACAACTCCGTAACATTAACTTGGCTGGCAGAGTAAAAGGCAAGAAATCCCAGGGGATCATAACAAGAACTCAACACTGACAGGATGCCTCTTCTGGTCTGTGGTTGTTCATACGCTGCTGTCCTGAACTTGAACTTGTCAATATCAACACACCACTGGTGTCCCAAGTGCTCTCCAATGGAAGGCTGTCTTTATCCAAGTCAAGCTCTTTCATTTCTTTTGTTCTGTTTTCCTGTGGAGAAGATGTCCAAAACTGTGCGGCTGTTGCTTATCCTTATCTTTATTTTCAGTTTTCAGTACACATTCAACATAGACAAAGCGGGGCTTGAGGGTGACATCAAACAGTAATGGAGAAAAGGGTCTCCCTGCCTCACCCTGCAGTGTAATTCAAAAGGGCCTTATTTATCATTGTTGGTGATGACCAAGAATGTTGGACGGAGGTATAGCATTTTGACCCATGCAATGAATGAGTCCCCGAAATTCAAATCGACTCAGTGCCTCAAACATGTATGGCCACTCTGTTTGGTCAAACGCCTTTTGGGCATCAAGTGACAAGACAGCCGCCTTGGAGTTCCTTCCATGATCAGAATACATGATGTTAAGGAGCTGTCATATGTTACTGAAAGAAAATCAACCTGGGATAAACCCTGTTTGGTCCAGTTGCTTATCCACTTCAAAAGATTAAATACCCATTTATGGCAGAGAGTGCTTAGGTCCTTAACAAAATCATGGCCTGGATGTCAACCATCAATGCAACAGGCTCCTGTCGGAATTTGAGAAGGACACCGATGAGGGAGTTTGTGAGATCGGAACCTAGTAGTTGACAATTCAGAAGTTCCCTTCTACACTTCTCCATAGTCAAACACCACTCAACTTTCATTTCCTCGGGTGATATACAGACCGTGATGAGGAATATACAAGACTTTTCCATGCTTAATTACTTCACTGAGAAAATATATGTATTCCTCTCAAAACCATTCCAAACTTCCTCATCAGGCTCATGAGGCGCTGTTCTGCAATACAGCGATTGTTTGGCAAGATGGGATTTTCATGTCTGAATGGTCAAGTGAAGGCAATAATGGCCATCTTTTAACACTGCTGAGTTGTCGGCTATTTTCATGAACTTAATGTCTTCTCTTGACATTTCAGCCTGTTCCTCTGATGAAAAATGAAATGATGGTTATATTGCTCAACCAGCATTTCCTCAATGTTTGCAATGGAAATTTAATTGGTGGTTACAGCAGAACACTTTGTTTCCTGCTGTCGTTTCCACCTTGAAGTAGACCATTAAGCCTCTTGGGTCTTTTCAGACACTGATGATTTTGGCATGTTCTGATATTGTTCTCAATTTGAGTAAATATAAGCAGTATTTTCAAAGTCACATAACTTTTTTTGTATTTAGTACAAGTTCAGCTACAATAATATCTAAGTGTTATGTATTCCCTGTCATCTCACTGTTGCTCTGGTAAAAAAAACTGTATGCCCTTCCAGGTGCATCACCTAACACCTGTCCCCCTGTATGGTATATGCCTAGTCTGATTAAGTGTAGTGCCACAAAATATCTAAATACTGTATATACAAATTAATCATAATAATAAATGAAATGGTCAAACTAATGACATGGCTCCTACATAATGCGCTAAAAATCCAACGTTCAAAACAGTAGTCAAATAGAACTATCGAACAGACGTTTCCTTGACAATGCAAAACAATTTGCTCAAAACACTGCCCAAGAATAGTTAAATTTCAGCTGATTATGGCGATAAAAAACAATATTATAGATGGCAGTAACTAATATCTCATCATTTTGGTAACTGGTTTAAGGGGACTAAACCACTCTGGGCTGTCCCTTTATTGGAAAATAATATACTTTGGCAGTGGTAAGCAACCTCGGCTTTGATTCAGCCACATCACACATCATGCATTATTTTACGTATTGCATATTGGTTCTTCATTTTGAGGATCGTTTTTCATTGGATTTAACATACAATTTGTACCTTTTATTTAATAAATTGGTTTAAGTATACTTGGATACAATATTGAATATTGAGTCAATTATAAAATAATAAAGTCAAAATGAATGCAGTTTTGCAGACTTGCGTGTCAGAAGGAAAGTCATTGCAACGGAATTCCGGGTCTTGATCTAATGACGTTTTATATATTGATCAACAAACGAACATGTTTGCTTTTCTTTCAGGAGGGAAGTGTACAGGATACTGAAGGATGAAGGGATCCAGCTACCTCGCTTTGCTGTGCTAAACCGAGATCCTGCGAGACCAGAGGGTTAGTGGGGGTAAAAAAGTAATGCAAGTGTATTTTAATTTAACTTTGTGCTCAAATAGATTTTTTCTGTTTTCATGTTAACATCTTTGATAATATAATATAAATATATAAAATAATAATGCAATAATATAAAATAATAATGCAATATAAGCCTGCAAAGAGAAAAATATGCAGTTGTAAAATGTATAATAGCCCTTGCAAATGACTTAAGTCTTTGTCAATATAGTGCACCACACTTCTGGTAGCAACAAGCTAATGGGACTCATTGAAGTATGCTGTTTTAGAAAGCCTGTGGCTTCCCATACTTGCCATGTAATGTTGCATGGTCGGTAGCTCAGAACATCTAGAGACTGGTATCTAAAAAAGCTGCTCTTGCAGAATTAACCTCTGGCTGGTGGTGGCAATTGTAGAGGGTTTAGAAGGCCTACAACCAACATAGTTGATTTAAAAAGCCCCCGAAACTCCATTGCTTCAATTGTCAAGCTCATAGATCGCCAACTGAGAAGCTGGCAGAGGGGCAGCAAGCTTTTCTTATCAGCTTACATTGTTTCTAACTAATATGTACAAGTTGTAGCCTAAATATTATTATATTAATTAAGCCATTGCTGAAATCTCCAAAATGGTGGTATATGTGCGATGCATGTGTATATGGGTGTGGGGAAATTTTCCAACCTAGGTAGCATTGGACAATATATGCAAGTGTATTAATTGCTGTGATTGCTGCTTTCTCAGAATGTAACTTGGTGGAAGGGGAGGACCATGTTGAAGTGAATGGAGAAGTCTTTCAGAAACCTTTCGTAGAGAAGCCAGTAAGTGCTGAGGACCACAACGTCTACATTTACTACCCCACTTCAGCTGGAGGCGGCAGCCAGCGGCTCTTCAGAAAGGTACATAACTTCCGCTGTTGGCCAAATTCTTTAATTCACTGGAGACATTTCTATCTTCATTGTTGATACATTTTGGTACATGTACTCCATTTGCAATCTCTGAACCCATCGGCTATCAGTCTGATGACGATTTAGCCTCTGGGGGCAACGGCCAGTATTTCTGTGTTTCCGGTGTAGCCAGCGGATATCCGGATAACAAATTCCTCTTCAGTGTGCTGGTCATTGTTTACAGTCCTGAGACACGTGCTCTATTGTTAATTTGAATTACATTCAATTTATTTCCAATTTAGATTGGCAGCAGAAGCAGCGTTTACTCACCTGAGAGCAACGTTAGGAAAACAGGCTCCTATATTTATGAGGAGTTTATGCCAACAGATGGCACTGATGTCAAGGTAAGACTTGGTTTTGTGGAT